TGTTATTCTTTTGGGTAAAACAATGTCTTAACACTTTATTCAACAACCCCCCTTATAATCCTTCAATGGTTCCTCCATGCCTTCAGAATAAAATCTAAAATCCTTTAATTGTGCAGCCGAACTAATCTCCATCTTAATCTCTAGCTACTACATCTCACTAACTCTCTATTCAAAGCACATACTTAACCTGCCTTGTTTCTGGTCCTCTGCCTTCACATATAGTCATATCCAAGGTTTAATAGCCAATGCCCCACTTCGTTCAGATAGATTTTCTCACCATTCAAATCTTCACTCAAACATCCCTGTTTTAGAAAGTCTTACACAAACCACTTAGGTGTTTTTGAGTTTCCTGTTTCTACCATAGTACTTGTTTTCTTGTATTGTAATTGTTCGTTTACTTTTCTTCTTCCTCATTAGACAGTAGATTCTTTGAAAGAAGATGCATATTTTATTCATCTTGGAGAAGTAACTAGCACAGTGCCTTGTATAGAGTAGATGCTCACTACCCGATGACCAAATAAGTTAATTAATATGCAGTAAAGGGAATACAAATGTACAGAAAATGACCATTCAATAAACTCAGGAAAGGACACCAATCTTGCCTGACCTATACCAGAATTCAGAACTAACCTAACTCAGAATCAATATAGTCCTTTCTCAATAGTCAAACTTGTATGTTCCCTATTTTCCTACCCATCCCTTATCTCTAGAGCCTCTTTATCATTTGCAAAGCACTTTCTGCGTATCCACATACATCATGTCATTTAATCATTAATGCCACTACAAGATCATGTTACTCAGCAGGGATTTAATGTAACAACCTCAGCATGTCCAAATGGTGTAGTGAGAGGAACACTGGACTTAGAGTCAAACAATTTGAGCTCAAGTCCCTGTTTTGCCATTTAACTACTGGTGTGTTATTGGAAAAATCTCCTGACTTGTCTAAATTGCAGCTCCCTCTTCCCCTTTGTCATCCACAATAAAGGTAAATTGTCATTTTTATGCATTATTGTCCTTCTTATCCAAGTTGGCATTTAGAGGTAGCTAATTGAGCCAGAAAGACTTTAGGGTAAGACAGGCCTGGTTTTGGCTCTTAGCCACATCACATAATAGGTGATCTTGTGCTCGCTGCTTAATCTCTCTCAGCCAGTTTCTCATAATTAGAGATACTGATGATTTCTTATTAGTTTATTGTAAAACTTAAATGAGATAAGGAATATAAAAATATCTGTAGATTTTTAAATTGCCATATAAAATTGTTATTATTATTTTTGGGGGCCAGGTTTAAGAATGGTATAGAACAATATTAATCAAAGTGCTTTTGTGCCACATCATCACAAGAGTATCTAATAGGAGGGTTCTTTAAAAAGTTACTGACAATTGCACATTAGCTTATTAAAGTCTCTGAGAAGTCCTGCTGTAGAGAGATCTATTTAACTCTGTTTAACTGGTCATTTTCCCAATGTATTTGAACATGGAACACACGTTAATACCTTGTGGAATAACAAGCATGAGAAGAGCAGAAAAAGCTGTTTTTTTCTCCGAGTCTTCCCTTCCCACTTCCATGATTCTCATGATAGATATTCAGAAACAAAACCTAAACTAGTAAAAATAGTAAACACTACCCACTTTACCATCCATTGATTTAGCATTCGCAATGCACTTATTTGATAGAAAAAACTAAATATGTACATCCATACACAGGAGAAACGCAGATAGAATTTTAAAAGTCACAAGTTCTGAAGGAGGGAGACATCTAGATATAATTGATAATGTGTATGAAGACTAAAGGCTGTTCTGATCGGGCATCTGTGATTCCCACTGGCTGAACTGCACACTTAGTAACTTCTGGAATCATATAAAATCAACAAGAGAGAAAAATGCTTTTTCATTTATTCACAGGCACAGTTCCTTTAAAGTCATAATTGCTCTTTTCACATGGTAGCAAAAGTTCACTTCATTATTTCAAATGGCTCTTTCCCAGGATCAACTCCTATGAATTTAAAAGCTGCCATTAATTCCCCATTAGTAAATTTTAATTAAAATGAATATGTACCATTGCTTTCAGCAGTTACATTTGTAATAAATGTATAAATACATCAAATCTTGTCCAAAATGTTTAAAATAGCTACTTCTGAACAAGCAAACGCTTTGATGTTATTTCAAAGGATTTTATCTATAGAAAGCTCTTAGAATCTGGCCCTTACCTAAAACAACTAGAATTTCATGGAAATACAATGAACTGTTACCAACCTAGCTAAAATCTATTTCGTTGATCTTAGAAAGTAGCATGTTAAAACATGAATAATGACCTTTGAGCTTTGCACCATTCAGTACTCCTGTGCTTCTGCAACATTTGTGTACAATACATTGAGAAGCTAGAGAGGCAGAGGGGTGCTTCTAACTTAAGGAATCATAGAGTTCCAGTACAATAATCTGAGATGAATTGCATTTCACAAGATGCATCTACTCCCCAAGTAATCTACTCTTAGAGAAGTTGAAACAATTTAGGATGCATCTGAGTATTAAATTCCATGAACTTTCTGATCTAATTTTAATTCCTACATTAGGCTAATATTCCATTTTGGGGTTTTTTTGACATACTTTATAAAAATAAAATTAGGCTGTCTCAGATCATGCTTCCAAGTTATTACCTCACCATCCCCCAGTTATCTTAACCATAATCCAGTAACAGATTAGATAATACAGATATGCATATTAAACACATTATTCTGAAAATGTAGACAAATAATATCTGAAATAGTTCCAATAATACTTCCTCCCAGATGACCATGAGTTAGCAGAATAAACTTTAAAGCCTTTAAGGAAAACACTGTAGAAATGCTTAACAAACAGGAGTTACGTGTAACTGTTTCTCCAGGGGTTGGGTCAGTTAATGCATTTGTCTGACAGCCTGTGGTTTTCCTCCTTCTTTCAGCCTTACACTTCCATCCCTCCTCCCCTTCAACAGCTTTTCTGGATGGCCAGTTGAGTCAGTGGCTGTGGTCTCACGGAGATGTGTTTAGGCCCTTTTTTTTCTTTTCTTACTTATTTCTCACTTTCTGCATTTTATGTCCTGAGGTAATAAACATCATTTTTTTAATGGGAAAAATGTTTGATGTAGAAAGTCTAATAAATACAACTATAAATAAAACAACATCCTCAGTTCACAGAATTCGATATCAGATTTTTCATAAAGTATCAATCTGCACAAAACATGGATAGTTCTTCAGTTACTAGAATTGGAAAGTGCTTGCATTATTTACATAAATCTAGAAATTTTAAAGGCGACTGAAAATAAGTGCTTTCCAAATCCTGCACAAAGTTTGTGAAAGTTAACAAATGCAATCATAATCTTCATTTACCACATTATCAGATTAAAACTGCTAATCATATGCATCCTAGCCACTAAACAATTTCAGTAATTAAAACAAGCATTTGAGTTTTTCATCAAATTTGAAGGGCATCAAGTTGTAAGTCTTCACAATAGTCAACCATGGGAAACATAGCCATCACATATAACTGGCATTTCAAAAAGTCCTTTGAGTTCAAAATATGGAGGTTTCCAACATCAGTTTGTCTGACTGCGTATCATATGCCACTTTTCCTGAAAGCATCTGATAAAAAATAAGTTTCACAGTCTGAGACATCACTGTCTATGGCAATGTTTACCCTGCCTTACAAAGCAATGGTCCCAGGAAAGATTGAAAAATAATCACACTTGCTTTTTTCAATGAAAACACTATTGTTCACCATAAACAAACAAACAAAAGTTTTCAGTTCTGTTCTACAAATTCTGAGTTGTTTCCACATGGGATACCTCAGCATAGTTAATGACTTATAATGTCTTCTATCACAAAAAATAACTACAAATGAAACTGAAAAGGACACTGTGATAGCCGAATGTAGCCCCATATCCGTGCACTTGCTAGAAAGTTTCCTCATTTTACGTGTGCTACATTCCTACTAAGTCATTTTAAACCAAAAAAGCTCTGGGATGTTAGTATCTAAATGCTTCGATACAAAGAATTTGTGTAGGTGTAAAATATTACTTCCAAAGCTACTGAAAATATAAAAGTCTGAGGAACACAGTGTTGAGCATACCATTTCATTATATTCCTAAATTCAGGCACTGACTGCTCAGATGAGGGTCCCTCTGCCCATCAAGTTTAGCCTTGTATTCCAGTTTGAAAGTGGAAGTGATATATGTGTAAAAAGACTTGGTAGATAAGATGACAAGTAGCAAAGCAGTCAATGAAGATGCCAAGTACAATTAAAGTTTACAAGATGCGACACCCCTTTTCCAAGGGTTCTTTCGTTATATGAGAAATCAGATATGGGGATATTGCAAGGTAATCACAAAGTGCATCATAAAAGTAAGTCTGGGTCCCATAAAGTGTACTCACTTATTTTTTGGAGATATAGAGACATAGATATAAAAATTTCCCAGAAAAGACAAGCTGTGTCCCTACTAAGCTCTTTACTTGGAGAATGGTACTTCTCTAGCAGTAATAATTAAAATGTGGGTACTTTTGAGAATCAACAACTCCCATCTAACTAAAAGTAGCTGTTTTTCTCAGAGAACAAAAGAAGCCATCCAAATTGCAACATACACTTCAAATCTAACATGATAAAACAGGATTTTTAGAAGATGTGACAGGAATCCTCTCCTACTCACTGAAACAGTATCACTAAGAATGGGAGGGGGAGGGTTGTAACATATAAAGAGAAGCTAGTGAAGCAGAGTGGGAAGACTGAAGGGATGAGGTGATCATAATCACTTTGCTGCCTTTCCCTTGTTTCTCACTTCCCTCCCATCCTAGGTTGTGATCACAAATTTTAAAAATGCAAAACCCAGTTAAAAAAAAAACCACCAAAAACTGAGAGTGTGACTAGGGTTACTACCACAGCAACCCTAAACGATTTTCGTGCAAAAGCAAAGCAGTGGGGATGTAGTAGCAGCAGCCAATCTCCCTCTTCCCCCACCCCTGATACGGTACCTCCAGATTTGCCCGAGCTGCAAGATGTGGATGAGTGACTGCAGGAGCCAGATGCAGAAGGAGCAGGAGGCAGACCTGTGTTTGCCGCTGGCCCCGCCGCTGTTGCTGCCAGTGCTGGTAGCGGTGATGTTGCTCTTGCTGGCGTTGGATGCTTGCCTTTGCGGCGTGGAAGGGCGAGGCTCGCCTTCCGCGGCTGCAGACCCACTAGTAACCATGGTCTTACACTCGGCTCCAGACTGCGCGCAGCTGGAGGCGGCGGCGGTTGTGGCGCTGTCCTCGGTGCTGAAATCGTGCACAAACCAGCGGAAGCTGAACACTTGCACCGAGAGCGAGCCAAGCACCACGAAGAAGAGAGTGAGCCCGAACCACCAGCGCTGGCCACGCAAGTAGTAGTCCACTGCGAGCCAGATGTCCGTGCCCACGTCCGCGAAGTACACGGCCACGGCGGCCAGGATCCAGAGGCAGTCCCACAGCGAGTAGCGCCTCTGCTCCCTGCCCAGGCGCAGGCACAGCGCCGCGGAGCCCGCCCCGCCGCCGCCCGAGCCGCCGCTCCCGGCGCAGCAGCAGCAGCAGCAGCGCGAACAGCCGCCGCCGTCCGGGCAGCAGCCACCCCCAGCGGCCTCCTCGTCCTCGGCTCCCGACCCCGACGGCAAGCCCGGAGCCAAGCCTTGCACCGAGCCCGAGTGGTCCGAGTTCTGCAGCGGGGTGAACGCCACGTCGCTGCTCTTCTTCATTTTCAGCCGCCCGTCTGACTTAGCGGCCATGATGCCTCCAAACCTGAGAGCCCTCCTTTATCTGACACCTTTCCCCGCTGTCTCCTCCTCCCGCCACCGCCTCGCCGCGCCTCGGCTTCCCTCCCCGGCGGCGCGGTTTCCCCTCCTCCTGCTCCTGCG